GTAGCGCGAATAGTGTCTCTCCGAATGCATTCTTAGTATCTCGTCAATGGGGCGGCCAATGACGTGATACAATGTTCGGACAATTCGCAGCAATCGCAGCGGCATTTTGATCCGGCTCAACCGACCAATGGCGAGCGTGCGTGTTGAAAGAATCGGCGCATATTTGACGCTGCGCGTTACGTCGTTTGTCGCAATGTTGCATTGTGAGTCGCGAGATGCGACTGATGCGAGTAGCGAATAGTCATCAGCCGTCAGCCAGTGATCCTTTGCGACACAAGTGATAAGCTTACACTAGTGACTCGGCCGTAGCCGCCGACCGCCGTCAGCCGACATCAATCACCAGTAGTCGTCCGATTCGTCCGATTACTCCGATTGTAGTCAATCAGCGGGACAATTGAGCGTTTCACGCGCCATTATGGATTCGTTGGCGAATTACGCCAGTGACGGCGATAACAGCAATAATTCGGACGACACGAAGGTAAGAAAATTCGAGGACTCAATTACCCGTCATCGACAACGTTGTTGTCGATATCGCCGTGGCTACTCAAAATTCGAAACAGTATGCGATATATATACTGCTCGAGATATAGCTTTGCTATGCTATGCGTGTTGCGTATGCCACCACACGCACGCATGCACACACACACACACACACACACACACGCGCGCGCGCGCGCGCGCGCGCGCGCAACGCCGCGGTTTACACCTAGATATTTGGAAACGCGATTGTGCTCTCTTTTGCAACTCTCTACGAATCATCGCGCATAAGCAACAAAGGTAGAATTACCGCGGTGAATGTAGCAGTATATACTTTAAGTAACTTTAGTTGGAAATAATTAATCTCGATTTCTAGACGCCACCTCAGGAACAGGAAGAGACAAACAGAAGGGCGAGCGACGCCAACTACGATCCGGTACAAATGGACATGAGTGAGGTATAGTAAAACCACACGCCGCTAATTCTTAATTAGTTGTACGAAACATTCGGACAATGCCTAAGAAGATACCACAGTGACTTTATGGGTGCTGTATGTACATGAAAAAATCTTAGGCCTGATACATAAAGGGGATAGTATCCGGTTTAGCAAAGTCATGTCAACAATCAATTGGTTAATGCTGTAAGAAATAAATTTGCAAGACAGGAAAAAATGTTCGTATATTGACAAAGGTTCCAATTACATTCGGCTTACTTGGTATTGTCGGTATAGTTAGGATTATGATTGGGTACAAGCTGTATTCCTTATCGAAACTATTATTGTACAAGTCTATATTTAACGCTCATAGTTGAAATACAAATAAGACAGGATCTTGAAATCTTATTGAACGCAGGATAATCAGGCTATCATTCACATAATTAAAATGATTTAAATGATAAGTAAATGGGAATAGTGCCATTTCGTGAGACAATATTAACACGTAGCTCTGTTGGTAATACATGATACAATATCTACGCATCTCGGCAAGGTCTATGCTGTGTGAGGGTCTTTCAAGACTACCCCCAAGTCCTATTCCGAAGACAGAGGTGAGTAGAGGAAGCTAGCAGAAGGTAACACTAACAAAACATCAATCATCAAAGAAATCACATGTACAAGTATATACTCGGGTGATAACTAACTGCAGAGGCAGATTGATGTGAAGGGCCCTCATATTCCTCTCTCTTTCTCTCTCTCTCTCTCTCTCTCTCTCTCTCTTCTCTCTCTTTCCTTTTTGTGACATGATTGTTTTATTGATTCATTTTACTTATTACTTCGGTAATTATCTCGATAATTAGCGTACACAAATTGTATTGTCGTTTAGAGTGACACGCAAAGTGTTGCTGATCTTTTGTATCAAGTACAACCAAGAAGAATTGATGCAAAAAAAATTGAATTTCCACTTTTTATAGAGAGAAATTCTTCAAGTTTGTGTAAATATAAAAAGTATAAAAGTACTTTATATACTTTTTATACTTACTATGTGTAAGAGTATTTTCTCTCTTAAAGTGTAGGTTTTCTAATATACATATTATTAATTGTCAAAGAATTGAACTTTGCGTGTATTGAAATTACGCATTCTAAAATAGTTTTTTGTGGTAGGAATTAAGAGCTATTTCTTTCATAGTGGAATATGTAAGAGAGATCCATATTAAAATTGATAATTTTTTTCTTTTCTCTAGGAGAGCAATAACAACAATTCGTCAAGGGAATCTAGTAGCGAACGCGCAAACAGTCCTACAACGGCTCAGTCTACCTTTGGCTCAAGAATAGAATCTTCTCGAGCTTTGCCTTCTCCATCAGACCAGAGGTAGGCTGGTTTGTTAATTATATATACAGTACAGGTGTTAAAGATATTTTACGGATATCAAATTTGTTATGAAAACAGTAATTTTGATATATCTCACTAAACTATATCGAAATTATACACCTGTCACATGTGCAGAATAATAATACGCATCTGTGTGGTATACCCCTGCAGAACGTAATCGTTTTACAGGCGAGGTGATCATGAGAATCATACGAGTTCGAAAGATGATCATAGACGAGGGGACCGTAGCGATCGAAATCGTCATTCGTCTGACAAAGGTCGCCGTTATGACGATCGAAAGCGTGATAATAATCACAGGGACCGAAGCAGAGATCGCAGGAATCGGGATGACGACAAGCGCAAAACGTCTCTCGGATCGTCTAAAGATGAGAAAAGTGATGATAGAGAGAGGAGCGACAAAGATCATCATTATAGGGATGACCGGAGGGATCGTAATCGCGACAGGAACGACAGGGATAGACGCAGGGATCGCAGCGACCGCAATGAACGGGATCGACGACATTCCAGAGACGAGCGGTCCAAAGATCGATATCGGGACGAGCGTTCGAGCTACCACAAGGAGAGGGATCGCACGCGATCGAGGTCGCGATCGAGGGACCGCGCACCACAGCTACCGTTTAGAACGATGAGTTATCGGGAGGAAAAGGGACGAAACAAACTGGCTCAGTTGGAGAAACTAGGCATAGAGTTGAAGCCGCCGGAGGGCGGCGATACTGTGATGATGCCTGGTGGTGTTCATGGCGAACAAAATTACTACAATCCGCTGGCGACGGCGACGCAGGGCAAGTACGCGGAGCAGATCCAAAAGAGGAAGCTACTTTGGGCAAACAAGGTGATGATTATCCAACTGTAGTAGTATCCTTAATAGATATGTATCCGACACGCAATCTCATTCTACAATCGCGTTTATCTCTTTGCAGTCGAAGCAGGATGACGGTAATAGTACGTCGACTGCGGCTTCCACTGCTAATACGTGGATGGGGACGACTTTCACGCACGATCAGGATGGGAAGGTGACAGCCAAGTTTAAACGACTGATGGGTATTAAGGGCGATCTACCTAACGCACCGGCAGTAGGAGCCAAACCGGATATTCTGAAAAAGCAAGAGGAAATGTTCAATAATATGGAGCAACAATACGAAGTAGCGCGTGCTACTACGCACACGCAACGTGGCGTTGGATTAGGTTATGCAACCGGTGGCTATCAATTTCCACGATAAAAACTTTTGAACTTCAGATTGTTTAATTACATTTATAATATTGGTAGATATATTGGCGCAGAATTACGTTTGCCAGTTCAGCGACCTTATATCGATTCGGTTTTTTTTTTTACCGGATCGCATTATTTCCAAGTCTTTTCTGCGAATTGGGGATGACGATAGCGGACTACAGCTAATCCAAGTTCAGAGTTCACCATATGATTGTAATCGAGTTATGTATTTGCGCGTTGTAAGCACTAAAAATAAATTTATTAAGATTATCTAAAAAAAAATCTTTTAAAAAGATTATTTATCTACGAATGAAATTTATTCCTCCTACATCGTCTGATCCCCTTTTTCCTTTCTAGATGGATTTAGGTAAATTCATGCCTGAATTTTTTCAACTTTCTATTAGGTAGTAAATTATTGTAACAACTCTTATTTAATAAGAATTCTTGTTAAAAATTCAGTCAATTATATAGTCTTGAAATAAGTTATAAAATTACAAAAGTAAGCAAATTCACTATATTGTTGATCAATGAAATTTATAAATATTCTGTTGAATTTGTTTATTTTTGTAATCCTCACCTCATTTTAAGGTATATATAATCGATCTTATTCTCTATAATTTAAGTTATATAAGAAAATAATTTGAGTTTTGAGCAGAGAGTATGCAAAGAATAAGCGTATAGAATTATGAAATTATTATTTTCTAACTTATTT